GGCTCTTTAAAATAATTCAAAATGAAATTTCCTTAAATAGAAAAGTTTCAATTTAGATTTTTCTAAATTTTCAAATTTTTGACTTTGCCAATCGAAAGAGGTAGTCAAATTTAGTAGAAAAGAATTTTCGTGATTTTTCTTTGCAAGGTTTTACAGCTTGTAGAAAATTAAAAATAATTTTTCGGTTTTTTTGTCCTGAAACATTTTGATCATCCGAAATTGCCTTACAAAATCGCTCATGACTCAATTACTTGCAGTTTCAATTTTCTTCCTCTAATTTTTAACTTATAGGAGGGAAATGTATTTTTTACATGTTAATCAAGTATTTAATTCAAATATTCTAAAATTTCATAAAGGAAATGCAATAAATAACGAAACTGTGATTTTTTCAAAGCTGATTAACATGATACTTCTGTTATACCAGATCTATGCTTGCATTTTCAATTGTCCCCTTATAATCTTAGTCCTGTAGAAAGAAAATGCATTTTTCTACATGTTGAGCAAGATTTTAACTTCATTATTTTAATATTTCATTGAGGAAATGGCAAGAATAAATAAATTGTGATTTTTCAAAGCCGATGAACATGATACTTCTACCATACAACATCTAAGATTGCATTTTCAATTTTCCCCTTATAATGTTCGACTTGTAGAAGCGAAATGTATTTTTCTACATGTTAAGCATGGATTTAACTTTAATATTTTAAAATTCCATAAAGAATATGCCAAGAATAAAGAAAATAAGATTTTTCAAAGCTGAATAACATGATACTTCTGCCATACAAGATCTATGCTTGCATTTTCAATTTTCCCATTATAATTTTGGACCTGTAGAAGGGAAATGTATTTTTCCACATGTTAATCAAAGAATTAACTTTAATATTTTAAAATTGCATAAAGGAAATACCAAAAATAAAGAAATTGTGATTTTTCAAAGCTGATGAACATCATACTTCTGCCATACATCTAAAATTGCATTTTTAATTTTCCCCTTATAATGTTGGACTTTTACAGGAGAAATGTATTATTATATATTTTAAGCATGGACTTAACTTTAATATCTCAAAATTCCATAAAGAATATGCCAAGAATAAAGAAATTGTGATTTTTCAAAGCTGATTAACATGATACTTCTGCCATACAAGATCTATGCTTGCATTTTCAATTTTCTCATTATAATTTTGCGCTTGTAGAAGGAAAATGTATTTTTTTACATGTTAAACAAGGGTTTAACCTTATTATTCTAAAACTTCATAGAGAAAATGTCAAGAATAAGGATATTGTTATTTTTCAAAACTGATTAAAATGATACTTCTGCCATACAAAATTTATGCTTGCATTTTCAATTGTCCCCTTATAATCATGTTCTTGTAGAGGAAAATGTATGTTTGCACATGTTAATCAAGGTTTTAACTTTAAAATTTTAAAATTTCATAAAGAAAATACCAAGAATAAAGAAATTGTGATTTTTCAAAGCTGATGAATATGATGCTTTTGCCATACATCTAAGATTGCATTTTCAATTTTCCCCTTATAATGTTGGACTTGTAGAAGGGAAATGTATTTTTCTACATGTTAAGCATGGATTTAACTTTAATATTTTAAAATTCCATAAAGAATATGCCAAGAATAAAGAAAATAGGATTTTTCAAAGCTGAATAACATGATACTTCTGCCATACAAGATCTATGCTTGCATTTTCAATTTTCGCCTTATAATTTTGGACCTGTAGAAGGGAAATTTATTTTTCTACATGTTAATCAAGGATTTAAAGTTAATATTTGAAAATTTCATAAAAGAAATACCAAGAATAAAGAAATTGTGATTTTTCAAAGGTGATAAACATGATACTTCTGCCATACCACATCTAAGATTGCATTTTCAATTTTCCCCTCATAATGTTGGACTTTCAGAAGGAAAATGTATTTTTTTACATGTTAAGCATGAATTTGACTTTAATATCTTAAAATTCCACTAAGAATATGCCAAGAATAAAGAAATTGTGATTTTTCAAAGCTGAATAACATGATACTTCTGCCATACAAAATCTATGCTTGCATTTTCAATTTTCACCTTATAATTTTGGATCTGTAGAAGGTAAATGTATTTTTTTACATGTTAAACAAGGCTTTAACTGTATTATTTAAAATTTCATAGAGAAAATGTCAAGAATAAGGTTATTGGTATTTTTCAAAGACATGATACTCCTGCCATACATCATCTCTGATTTTTTTATGGAGCCGAAAACGTTACTGGAAAAAAATCTCCCTGATTCAGCATAGAAACTTCCTCTACCAAAACCACTTTCTTAAAAAATCTCGGATTTCCAAAAACTTCCTCGAAACTAACTTCATGTAGGTACCTATCCGAAATGCCTATAACTTTAACATACTGAAGATTTTCAAAAATAGGACAATGAAGTTGTGATTTTTTGATTTTCACATAGACATATTCATTATTCCTACGAAGTTGGTAGGATATCCTTATGTGCCAAATTCCAGGATTTTTACATTTCCCTAATAACTTCCTGATATACTTCCTCGATATTTCAAAAACTTTCCTTGTTTTTCTGTACTTTCTTGGATAGATCAGAAAACTTTCCCGGAGAAGATGCCTTGTTAATTCTGCATGGAAACTGCCTTCATTATTTGATAATTATTTCTCGGACTTCCTTTGAACTTTCTCTTATGTTTACGCGTCTCCTGAATAATTCTTCTCTAGATTTGCGGTGTTTATTGGAATTTTTCGTTATTTCAACAAATTCCTTTAAATCTTCTCTCATTTCTTCTAGATCAAGTCAAAGCTTCCTAGATGGTTTTTTGGAGAAACTATCTTTTCAATTTTGCATAAAAACTCTCTCCATAACTTGACAAATATTTCTCATCCTTGATGGAATAAGTCTAAACTAGCCTTATTTGGAATTTCTGATTATTTACACAAACTTCTTTCACTTTCCCTGTAATTCCTCAGGTGAAGGTAGAAACTTTCCAGATGCTTTTCTAAGAAACAACGTCTCTGATTTTGCATTGATACTCCCTCTCTGATAACTATGTAGTTTCCTTATTTCTCAAACTTCCTTTAAACTTTGTCTCCCTCGGATCTCTCCAGAATTTCTCAATACTCCTCCAGACTTTAATAAGTTGGACTTCCTCGTACTTTCTCCAAGTTTCACAAACTTCCCTCACTTCTTTGGGCCAGGGTGAAAACTTTTAAGGTGACTTCTAACGAAAATCACCTACCTCATATTGCAAAGAGACTTGGTAAATATTACTCGTACTTCCTTAGATTTTTTGGAATTTCTTCCAATTTCCTCGGACTTGTTACGACTTCCTCGAATGTTTTCAATAATTCATCGTACTTTAAGCTTCAATACTTCCTCGAACCCCTTCAAATTTTTACAAACTTCCCATAGCTATTTCCATTACACTTACCAGGTTTCCCCTCTCGATGTGTCCTAATCAATAAGAATTTCTGAAAATATTTTCGTTGTAGTAAGGAAAGATGGTAAGAAATATCAAATTGAAATTTGTAATGCCGCTATAGATGGTTTTAAAATCCAACAAAAGATATCTAGCCGATTTAGCCAAAAACATGGACTTGAGAAATCTGCAAATCTTGACTTGAGAAAATTGCACTTTTCTACGTTTGGTTTTTCGAATTTCTAGAAATGTTTCCATTGAAAAGGCAGTCAGGAAAAATGGTGAGAAATATCGGATTGAAATTTTGTATGCGGCTATTGAAGGTTTGAAATCCAACAAAAGATGTCCGATCGATTTATCCAGAAACATGGACTTGAGAAATATTTGCATGAAGAGAAAGTCAGGTAAAATGGTGAGGAAAATCGGATTGAAATTTTGTATGCGGTTATAAAAGGTTTGAAATCTAACAATATGGACTCAACTTCTGTACCGTTTTACGTTTGGTTTTCTTTTCTTGAGGAAATAGAACCAATGTTAAGCCATGCTTTGATAACACCTACATCATCCGGCATTGCCTTACAAAATCGCTCATGACTCAAATAATGTAAAAATTTTGATGCATATTTACATATTCTTAATCAAAATTAAATTTTATTTAGGATAAAATAAAATTGAATTACTTATCTCGAATAGTTTTCGAGATATTGAGCCTCAAAGTTGAAACTTTGTCTCAAATTTCGGAAAATCTTCAAAGCCGATTATCACGAAAACGAAGCCCTAGAGCTCTGTGTCCCAAATAACCTTTTTTGAAACCCCAATTGAGATCTACAATTGGATAAAATTTCATGCCGATAGCTTCTCCGGTTTCCAAAATATGGCCGTTCGAAATATTTGAAAATGAAATTTCCTTGGTAAAATTTCAATTTTGATTTTTTTAAATTTTTCAATTTTTGACTTTGCCATTCGAAAGATGGGGTCAAATTCAGTAGAAAAGCATTTCCGTGATTTCTATTTTTGACTTTTTAGAGCCTGTAAAAAATTAAAAATTAATTTTATATAGGTAAACATCACACATAAACGGTTACGAACCTTTAGTTTACATAATATTTATATACATAAACTTGATATGCTGATGAAAAAATTATTTCAAATTCATATAAACTTTACGTAAATGTAACACCTAGATGTATACACTGGGTATTGTCTGTTTCATTGGAAGAATTAATGAACTACGAATGTATCTATTTCCCACATAAGGAGATCCAGGAATAAAAAAAAAAAAAACAAGATGCTTCAATCTTTGCGATGTAATACAAACCCAAGTTATAAATGGATTGTACAAATTGAAATTGCCGTGGGAAACGTATCCTTCGATATTGCTGCTAAAAAAAATCCTAATTATTCCAATCGCCGGCAAATCATTCTGACCCTTACCTTTCTACAATGCGATTTTTTTTCCCGAAAGGAATCAGGCCTATAATCAGAATAAACGAAAGTGGCGGGCAAACGAGAAGTAGGAGATTGCGAGTCTATAAAAGCCGTTACGTCGCATTTCCATCTTTTATGTAGTGAATTTTAAGTTTACTCCGTTTCCATCTTTTATATGTGCGATTTGTGTTCAGAGAAATTCATTGCATATTTCACAGGTGACCAAAAATGAGGAACTGTACAACGTTTCTACCGTTGCTTATGAGCCTGTTTTTCAATGTGAAATGCAACCCTATATCGCAGCCGGGATACGAAAATCCTCAGTATGTTTCGCAAAATGTTCCTACTATTACTTATAAGCCTCAGCAAATACATTACAAACCTGCAGGTAAGAATTATTATTGATTAATTGATAAAAATAGTTATCTTTTTATGAGTGGTTCTTGTAAGATGTAATAGAAAACTTGTTTCTCATTAAACTTTGCATGTAAAACACCAATTGAGTCATGAATACTTTGTTTTTAGCTCAACCAGCAAGACCAGTATATGAAGCCAAAGCCGATGGTTTACAGTATTACTCCAATCAGCAACAACAGCAGCAGCAACAGCAAAAAAGTCCTCCTTCGATCCAGACTCCTGGATATGGTCCTGTGAGGCAGGTTTTTGTTCCTACAAGCCAGGTGAGTTTAGTAAAAACTTAGTATGCCGACTACCCTCTAAAACAGGGCAAATTGAAATAATTTTAAGTTTATTTTAATAGAAAGAGTACCCTGTAAATAACTTAATCTTCCTATAACTTTATTGCCTTTCAAAGCTTTTAAGCTAAAACACTATATCAAAAATAGCGTTAAAGATTTATCGACTTTATACGAAGTAGCTGTTCCAAAGTTTTCATTCGACTTTCTTTTGTGCTATAAATAAATAAAATCGCACGAGAAAAAAAACCCTCAACCTTTTTCGTTACAAATTATTTCCGATCTTTGATAAAAGTTACGCTTAAGATAATTTCCGAGTAGAGAATGCGGAACCATATTGGGGCCTTAATTGACTTCTATTGACCTAGAACTAAGGGACACTCGTTTATGTAACGTTTAGGAAAAAGGTCGGCCCTTCAATTGAAAAACCTCTCATTTGTGATTTTGTAAAGTCGAGGCAAAAGGGCGAACGATATATTGGTTGATTGAACAAATTTTGCTTGTTAATTATGAAGCAGTAAATTAAATATTATTGCTTTATTTTCTGATAGTTATTTTTGAATGTTCGTTTAGTTATAGGTACTTGATAAAATTTAAAAAAATCTGGCTCTTCACAGTGAAATTTTTGGTGTTATCAAAGCATGGCTTAACATTGGTTGTTTTTCCTAATTTTCCTCAGGAAAAGAAAATCAAATATAAAAAGGTACAGAAGTTGAGATTGAGTCCATATTGTTGGATTTCAAACCTTTTATAACCGCATACAAAATTTCAATCCGATTTTCCTCACCATTTTACCTGACTTTCTCTTCATGCAAATATTTCCAGAAACTCGAAAAACCCAAATGCAGAAAGATGCAATGTTCTCAAGACAAGATTTGCGATTTTTTCAAGTCCATGTTGTTGGATAATTCGGCCGGACATCTTTTGTTGGATTTCAAACCTTCAATAGCCGCATACAAAATTTCAATCCGATATTTCTTACTAGTTTTACTGGCTTCCTCTTCAATGATTTTTTTTTTAATTCAAAAAAACCAAACATAAAAAAGTGCAATGTTCTCAAGCCAAGATTTGCGATTTTCTCAAGTCCATCATGTTTTTGGATAACTCGTCTAGATATCTTTTGTTGAATTTCAAACCTTTTATAGCGGCATTGGAAATTTCAATCCGATATTTCTCACCATGTTTCCTGATTTCCTCTTCATTGCAAATATTTCCAGAAATTCGAAATAACCAAACGTAAAGAGGTGCAATGTTCTCAAGTTAAGATTTGCGATTTTCTCAAGTCCATGTTTTTGGATAAATCGGCTGGACATCTTTTGTTGGATTTCAAACCTTCAATAGCCGCATACAAAATTTCAATCCAATATTTATCACTATTTTCCCTGGCTTCCTTTTTAATGAAAATATTTTTAAAAATTCAAAAAAACCAAACAGAAAAAAGTATAATGTTCTCAAGTCAAGATTTGCGATTTTCTCAAGTCCATGTTTTTGGATAAATCATCTGGATAACTTTTGTTGGATTTCAAACCTTCTATAGCCGCATACAAAATTTCAATCCGATATTTCTCACAATTTTTTCTGACTGCCTCTTCAATGCAAATATTACCAGAAATTCGAAAAAACCAAACGTGAAAAGATGCAATGTTCTCAAGACAAGATTTGCGATTTTCTCAAGTCCATGTTTCTGGATAAATCGGCCGGACATCTTTTGTGGGATTTCAAACCTTCAATAGCCACATACAAAATTTCAATCCAATATTTCTCACTTTTTTTCCTGGCTTCCTCTTCGATGAAAATATTTTTAAAAATTCAAAAAAAACCAAACATAAAAAGTGCAATGTTCTCAAGTCAAGATTAGCGATTTTCTCTAGTCCATGTTTTTGGATAAATCATCTGGATATCTTTTGTTGGATTTCAAACCTTTAATAGCCGCATACAAAATTTCAATCCAATATTTCTCCCAATTTTTTCTGACTGCCTCTTCAATGCAAATATTTCCAGAAATTCGAAAAAACCAAACGTGAAAAGGTGCAATTTTCTGAAGTCAAGATTTGCGATTTTCTCAAGTCCATGTTTTTGGATAAATCATCTGGATATCTTTTGTTGGATTTGAAACCTTCAATAGCGGCATACAAAATTTCAATCCGATTTTCCTCACCATTTTACCTGACTTTCTCTTCATGCAAATATTTCCAGAAACTCGAAAAACCCAAATGCAGAAAGATGCAATGTTCTCAAGACAAGATTTGCGACTTTCTCAAGTCCATGTTTCTGGATAAATCATCTGGATATTTTTTGTTGGATTTCAAACCTTCTATAGCCGCATACAAAATTTCGGTCCGATATTTCTCACCATCTTTTCTGAGTGCCTCTTCAATGCAAATATTTCCAGAAATTCGAAAAAACCAAACGTAAAAAGGTGCAATGTTCTCAAGTTAAGATTTGCGATTTTCTCAAGTCCATGTTTTTGGATACATCGGCCGGACATCTTTTGTTGGATTTCAAACCTTCAATAGCCGCATACAAAATTTCAATCCAATATTTATCACTATTTTTCCTGGCTTCCTTTTTAATGAAAATATTTTTGAAAATTCAAAAAAACCAAACATAAAAAAGTATAATGTTCTCAGGTCAAGATTTGCGATTTTCTCAAGTCCATGTTTTTGGATAAATCATCTGGATATCTTTTGTTGGATTTGAAACCTTCAATAGCCGCATACAAAATTTCAATCCAATATTTCTCACTATTTTTCCTGGATTCCTATTCAATGAAAATATTTTTTAAAATTCAAAAAAACCAAACATAAAAAAGTGCAATGTTCTCAAGTCAAGATTAGCGATTTTCTCTAGTCCATGTTTTTGGATAAATCATCTGGATATCTTTTGTTGGATTTCAAACCTTCAATAGCCGCATACAAAATTTCAATCCAATATTTCTCACTATTTTTCTTGGCTTCCTCTTCAATGAATATATTTTTAAAAATTCAAAAAAATCAAACATAAAAAAGAGCAATGTTCTCAAGTCAAGATTTGCGACTTTCTTAAATCCATGTTTTTGGATAAATCATCTGGATATCTTTTGTTGGATTCCAAACCTTCTATAGCCGCATACAAAATTTCAATCTGATATTTCTCACCATTTTTTCTGACTGCCTCTTCAATGCAAATATTTCCAGAAATTCGAAAAAACCAAACGTGAAAAGGTGCAATTTTCTCAACTCAAGATTTGCGATTTTCTCAAGTCCATGTTTCTGGATAAATCGGCCGGACATCTTTTGTTGGATTTCAAACCTTCAATAGCCGCATACAAAATTTCAATCCAATATTTCTCACTATTTTTCTTGGCTTCCTCTTCAATTAAAATATTTTTAAAAATTCAAAAAAACCAATCATGAAAAAGTGCAATGTTCTCAAGTCAAGATTAACGATTTTCTCAAGTCCATGTTTTTGGATAAATCATCTGGATATCTTTTGTTGGATTTCAAACCTTCTATAGCCACATACAAAATTTCAATATATTTCTCGTTATTTTTCCTGATTTCCTCTTCAATGCAAATATTTCTAGAAATTCAAAAAACCAAACGTAAAAAGGTGCAATGTTCTCAAGTTAAGATTTGCGATTTTCTCAAATCCATGTTTTTGAATAAATCGGCTAGATATCTTTTGTTGAATTTCAAACCTTCCATAGCGGCATTACAAATTTCAATTTGATATTTATCACCATTTTTCCTGACTGCAATGAAAATATTTTCATAAATTCTTATTGATTAGGACACATCGAGAGAGGAAACCTGGAAAGTGTAATGGAAATAGTCCATGCCTAAAATGTAGAATAATACATTTTCCTTCTAAAAGTCCAACATTATAAGGGGAAAATTGAAAATGCAATTTTAGATGTTGTATGGCAGAAGTATCATGTTCATCAGCTTTGAAAAATAACAATATCCTTATTCTTGAAATTTTTTTTATGAAATTTTAGAATAATAGAGTTAAATCCTTGCTTAACATGTAGATAAATACATTTCCTTTCCACAGGTCCAAAATTATAAGAGGAAAATTGAAAATGCAAGCATAGATCTTGTATGACATAAGTATCATGTTAATCAGCTTTGAAAAATTACAGTTTTTTTATTGTTGGTATTTTCTCCGTGAAATTTTTAAATATTTGAGCTAATTCCTTGATTAACATGTAAAAAAATATATTTTCCTTCTACAAGTCCAAAATTATAAGGGGAAAATTGAAAATGCAAGCATAGATCTTGTATAACAGAAGTATCATGTTAATCAGCTTTGAAAAATTACAGTTTCTTTATTTTTGGTAGGTATTTCCTTCGTAAAATTTTAAAATAATTGAGTTAAATCCTTGATTAACATGTAAAAAAATACATTTTCCTTCTACAAGCCCAAAATTATAAGGGGAAAATTGAAAATGCAAGCATAGATCTTGTATGACATAAGTATCATGTTAATCAGCTTTGAAAAATCACAATTTCTTTATTCTAGGCATATTCTCTATGGAATTTTGAGATATTAAAGTTAAGTCCATGCTTGAAATGTAGAATAATAAATTTTCCTTCTAAGAGTCGAACATTATAAAAGGGGAAAATTGAAAATGCAATTTTAGATGTTGTATGGCAGAAGTATCATGTTCATCAGCTTTGAAAAATCACAATTTCTTTATTCTTGGTATTTCCTTTATGAAATTTTCAAATATTAAAGTTAAATCCTTGATTAACATGTGAAAAAATACATTTTCCTTCTACAGGTCCAAAATTATAAGGAGAAAATTGAAAATGCAAGCATAGATCTTGTATGGCAGAAGTATCATGTTAATCAGCTTTGAACAATCACAATTTCTTTATTCTTGGCATATTCTTTATAGAATTTCAAAATAATAAAATTGAATCCATGCTTAACATGTAGAAAAAGACATTTCCCTTCTACAAATCCAACATTATAAGGGGAAAATTGAAAATGCAATTTTAGATGTTGTATGGCAGAAGTATCATGTTCATCAGCTTTGAAAAATCACAATTTCTTTATTCTTGGTATTTCCTTTATCAAATTTTCAAATATTAAAGTTAAATCCTTGATTAACATGTGAAAAAATACATTTTCCTTCTACAGGTCCAAAATTATAAGGAGAAAATTGAAAATGCAAGCATAGATCTTGTATGGCAGGAGTATCATGTTAATCAGCTTTGAACAATCACAATTTCTTTATTCTTGGCATATTCTTTATGGAATTTTCGAGATATTAAAGTTAAGTACATGCTTAAAATGTAGAATAATGCATTTCCCCTCTTAAAGTCCAACATTATAAGGGGAAAATTGAAAATGCAATTTTGGATGTTGTGTGGCAAAAGTATCATGTTCATCAGCTTTGAAATATCACAATTTATTTATTTTTGGTATTTCCTTTATGAAATTTTGAAATATTGAAGTTAAATCCTTGATTAACGTAGAAAAATACATTTCTCTTCTACAAGTCCAAAATTATAAGGAGAAAATTGAAAATGCAATTTTAGATGTTGTATGGCAGAAGTATCATGTTCATCAGCTTTGAAAAATCACAATGTTTTTATTCTTGGTATTTCCTTTATAAAATTTTCAGATATTGAAGTTAAATCCTTAATTAACATGTAGAAAAATACATTTCCCTTCTACAAGTTCAAAATTATAAGGGGAAAATTGAAAATGCAATTTTAGATGTTGTATGGCAGAAGTATCATGTTATTCAGCTTTGAAAAATCCCAATTCCTTTATCCTTGGCATATTCTTTATGGAATTTTGAGATATTAAAGTTAAGTCCATACTTACAATGTAGAATAATGCATTTCCCCTCTTAAAGTCCAACATTATAAGGGGAAAATTGAAAATGCAATTTTAGATGTTGTATGGCAGAAGTATCATGTTCATCAGCTTTGAAAAATCACAATTTTGTTATTTTTGGTATTTCCTTTATGAAATTTCAAAATATTAGAGTTAAATCCTTGATTAACATGTGGAAAAATACATTTTCCTTCTACAGGTCCAAAATTATAAGGAGAAAAATGAAAATGCAAGCATAGATCTTGTATGGCAGAAGTGTCATGTTAATCAGCTTTGAAAAATCACAATTTCTTTATTCTTGGCATATTCTTTATGGAATTTTAAAATATTAAAGTTAAATCCATGCTTAACATGTAGAAAAATACATTTCCCTTCTACAAGTCCAACATTATAAGGGGAAAATTGAAAATGTGAGCATAGATCTTGTATGACAGAAGTATCATGTTAATCAGCTTTGAAAAATCACATCTTTATTCTTGGTATTTCCTTTATAACATTTTAGAATATTTGAGGTAAATCCTTGATTAACATGTAGAAAATACATTTCCCTTCTATAAGCTAAAAATTATAAGGAGAAAATTGAAACTGCAAGCTTAGATCTTGTATGGCAGAAGTATCATGTTAATCGGCTTTGAAAAGTCACAATTTCTTTATTCTTGGCATTTTCTTTATGAAATTTCAGAACATTTTCCTTCTACAAGTCCACATTTGGGGAAGTTTATAAAGCTTCGTGGAAGTAACCAGTAGGGCAAAGTTTAAATTATGCCAGTTTGAGAAAGTCATCATTTCAGAATCTTGATGAAAAGGTTTTGATGCTATCAACAACTTCTCAAGTTTTCATCACATTTTCGGGGGCGCTATTAATTAATAAACAACAGAAAAATGGCATTTAAAAAGATTCCTGAGACAATAATTTCTTATCGATATGCTTATATTACGAATTCTATTGAAATATTTGATCTGCTAAATCACTCTATCATTTTATCGTGAATATTGGAAGTTTAAATAGAAATCATCCAGTTAGCTTTTGAATAAGTCAACTGAGCAAAAGCCAATAACATTCTTATGGCGCAATTAAAAATAATTGCTTCTCGACTGTGTACGGTTAATACGAGTATAAACTGCCTTCTCGTACACCGACTTTTAGATATTTTAGTGAAAGTACCTACTTGGGTATTAATTCAGCAAATGTACCTATACAAAAAAAAAATATTTTTAAGTTCAAAATCACCTTTTGAGAAGTTACATAAGAATTTCCCAATTCCGATTTGTCAATTAATTAAATCAATAAGTTATTAATTTTCCGCGGAAGAGCCGTAACACTTAATCAAAAACTTGTTAAATTATTAAATCTAATTATTCAATATATTGGTAAAAGTAGCGCTCTGATTATGTCATAAGGTATTTATAGTAGCAATATTACGTTACTTACTTTGTGTGTTTAGTAAACATGCAATTCGATTTTAATTTAATGCCCTACTTTATTTTGTGTTATTTATGTAGTGATGAGTAATGTATCAATCACTGTTCAAGCTAAAGTTTTGTTATTAAACGATAAGAGATTAACCAGGGAGGGTTTGATTTTGTGCCTTGGCCCGAAAATTTCTTCTTTAATTGAGCGTCTGTCTGGAAAACCGGAAACAATCGGACATGGCAGTAGGAGAGAAAATTGCTTTTTTTTACTTCTATTAAATCGCAAATAACATTCATCTTGCCATAAAGAAAATCGAAAGTTATATTGTCATTTAAAGTCTGTATTACTTTCTTCTATTATAGCTCGACACCACTTAAATGGTCATCAGGATGTGATTGAGTAGGAATTTAATTTGCATTTTAAGGATTTTCGAATAGTTTAACGATTTTAGTTTTTCATATACAGGTTGTATCAGGTATGAGTACAAATATTTTAATATGAGATAATATGGCCCATTTCAAGCTTAAACTGTCATATTAACCATGGGTCAATTGTTAGTATTTTCAGAGTTTAAATTTAGAAAAATGTTAACAACGTGACAACATCGTATAGGTATTATGTTTGCCAGGATCTAAATGTAAATAAAATTGGTAAATTTAAAGGTTTTGTTTTTCTGCGAGGAGTTTATTTATCTCCATCTGTTTACGTTTTGGTTTGTTATTGGCTTTCAAATAATGTAAATAATAACTTGCATTTTTATCACTTTTCTAGGAGAAATAAAAAATGTACCGTTTAATCAAGTCGTGAATTGCACTCAATGACATTTTCATCCTTAACATTCAAGAGAAAAACTCAGCTACTTGCCAAATCTTCATTATGAAAATATTAATTTTTGGTAAGAGGTTCTCAAAACACTCAAATCAACACGCAGATTTTGCACACTCACACTTCCCGTATCACGCAATCTCAACGGGCGCAATGTTCTTTCATCAGGGACATCAGGTGGGTGCTCTTGGGGAAATCTTTCTCTGTAAATTCTGGCGGCTAAATGGGCATTTTGCAAAGATCCTGCATAAACAAGTACTGGATATTCGACGTTTGTAAACAATTTATTTTCGAAAAAGAATGAATTACGCACGTTTCTAATGCTTCAACTAACTGACATAAGTCACACACAAGCGAGTGTTGTGCTATGTTGACAGATGTTTTTTATCTTCAAAATATTCCACAAAAAATGTCAAAACTTCAAAGGCCTTTCTCCTAAAAATAGTTGAGTTGAGTCTCCATGTAGTATGAACTTTTTTGTTCAAAATGGGCCATATTTTCACGTGTTTTTGTAGTCAAACCTGATACACCCTGTATATTAAAGATTGAAATGTTCCTTCGAATGATGGAGGAATAATTGGAGAACAAAAAAAAAAAAAAAACTTTACCACATTTTTTCTAAAGATGCTTGCGACCGAGCTTGCGACCAATTAATCTTATTGGACAAATTCTTTTCCAGGGTCCTAGAGAAATCGAAGCCAACTTCTACGACCAAGTCCTGAAAGCCCAACAACAAGCGGCTTATTCGAGAGCTCAGCCCCAAGCCCAGCAACAACAGCAACATGTCAAATACGTGCCACAGCCTCAGCAAGTCAAATACGTGCCGCAGCCTCAGCCAATCAAATACGCGCCTCAGCCGCAGCAAGTCAAATACTCACCCCAGCCTCAGCAATACCAGCCCAGATTTCAGCAACCTCAAAGGCCTAAACAAGCCGAAGAAGAGGAAGAAGAGGAACCAGAAGGTGATTATGATGTAAGTTTTTATTTGATTATTTTGTGTGTGTGTGTCGCATAATAGCGCAAGCACAGAAGTCATAATTTCGAGTTAAGTGTCGCGTAAATCAAATTGTTCGCCGTTAACTTTCGAGCGTTTTCGTGCTTCGGAGCGAGAGCAGAATATTAAATGTATTGACGGAAACGGACGAATTAATTAAAACTGGTGCAGCGTTTGTTGTTTACCTGACGGTTTATGGACAGTTGTCTGGACAATAAATTTCAGCCAGGATTGGAAGTCTCGAAATGGCTTTAGATAAAATTAGTTCAACAATTATTCTAAAACATTTTTGATTATGATTTCAATGGAATAACAGATTTGTTACAAATAGAAGATTTTGGTATAAAAACTGGGGATTTTTTCAGCATATAGTATAATACATACGGTAAAAAAAATATATAGTGGTTGGTAAATTCTACGATTCCAATTTATTACATCTGGAACAATAACCTGTTGCGATGGGATGCATCTTGGGGTTCGAAATAACTTTTTCACGATTTTTATTGCTATACTGCTTTATAGGCTTCAGGAAAATGGCAATTCTCGCCTTATTAATATTTTTCGCTTTTGAGTAAATGTGGTAGGAGAGTTCTAGCGCAATTTCATCCATTTTGCCTTGTAAATCTCCATAAGAAAATCTAAGGTCCATTCTGCGACTTTTTGTACCATTTTGGAGTGAGGTTCAAATTTCCAGGAATAAGCCCCGCTCCGTTTCCAGTGCCCGTGTCTTTTATTGATAGCTGATCAGTCGCCGCTGGTTCAGAGTTATTGATCGTACGTAGCTCTAGAGGTCTGTATACAGGTATACAGATTCTTTCCTCCAAGGTATTTTTAGCCTTCGTTCGCTCTTTCTCTATGCGACAGAGTTCCTGAAAAACCTTAGTCACAAATCAGCTCGTTGCTTCCCAGGCTGCTTTTGATGGGAGCATAGCTGTCACCAAGGACTCCGGTTGAACCTTCTCCTCAAGGACAATCTCCCAGGAACTACGTGGCGTGTTGAAACGAGGGCACGTGAAGAACACGTGCTCCGCATCTTCATTGACTCCTGTGCAGGCATCATCATGCTTGAATTTATGAAGATAATCGCGGAAGCACCCATGTCCTGGAAGCATCTGTGTAAAGTAATAATTGACCTACCCGTGGTGTCAGTTTAGCCAGGCTTCAACCTGCGGTTACAGGCGTTGAGTCCATCTCCCTTTGGTCGAAGCATCCCACAGCAATTGTCATCGGCAAACTATTTCGCTTCTGTTCTCAGCTCTGCTGGGCTGTGTGTCGTTGATCCTTTCTGCCAGTACAGGAATCTTCGTTCTTCGGCGATTACTTCAATAGGCAGCATCCCGGCGATGACACACACTGCGTCCCCGGACACGGTGCGGTACGCGCATGCGACTCTGAGGGCGCTTAGCCACATAGATATCCTCTCAAAAGTCATATCGAAGATGAAGGTAATTTCTTCAGTGTATTGCCACTATCACCACAGCCACGTCGTCTGCGAATGCCACGAGTCTCGCCCCCTTCGGCAGCATCAGCTTCAGCAACCCATCGTACATGATATTCCAAAGGAGGGGACCCAGGACTGACCCCTGAGGCACCCCCTCGGTAACTCTGTACTCTTTGGGACCGATCTCTGTGTCATACTTGAGGACTCTGTCGGTGAAGTAGCTAGCTACCATCCTCCGTAGTTATCCATTCACGGCCATCTTGCCAAGAGCCTCCATGATGCAGTCCCATCTGGCTGAATTGAAACCATTCTTGATATCCAGGGTCACAACCAGTCAGTACTTATTCACACCTCCTTCCGATCTTGCCCCTGATATCGCTTCTTTGGCGGTGTTGACGACGAAGTCAATAGCATCAAGGGTGGAGCGACCGCTTCGGAAACCATACTGGTTTTCCACGAGTAGGGGATCAACGGCAACTTCTATCCTCCTATGAACTATACGAGCGGTGTCTAATATGCAAAGCGGACGATACGATAAAGGTTCGTTTGGTGGCTTGTTCCCCTTGGGGAGGAGCACTAGTCTCTGCTGCCCCCACTCTGCAGGAAAGGTCCCCTCCGCAAAGCATGCATTATATACCTCCAAAAACAGTGCAGGAACTGCGTTGATGGCAGCTTTCAGCGCGATGTTCGATATTCCATCTATGCCAGGAGCCTTCGCGTTCCCGACTCTACTACAAGCTTCCTCCACTTCCTCCACTATGATTCGCGGAATTGGCTCTATCTCGCACTCATGCGGAACGTGAAGAAGTTCCGGCTGTTCAGGAGACAGTACCGAGACGATCTTCTCCAAGAGTTTGGGGCAATTTGGCGGTGGCATTGGCTGGTTTTTAAGCCGCGTCATGATCACCTTGTACGGCCTGCCCCACGAATCACAGTCGACTTCGTCTGGCAGCTCACTCCAGCATTCCTTCTTGTTGGACTTGATGGCTTTGTTAAGTCTCTTACGCGCATCTTTGTACTTTGGCTCCAATTCACCGAAGTCTGGTTTTTTCCACCGACGCTGTGATGTTCTTCTCGCTTTCACACAGTCCTCTCGAAGAGCGGCGATCTCATCACTCCACCAATTGACCGGTGGCAGACGGTTTCCACGGCATTTCCGGGGCATAGATGCATCACAGGCCTCGGTTACTCCTCCTCATGATGTTCTCGGCTTTCTCGGCAGCTCCACTGCCACTGATCAGATGATCATCAAGTGCTACTAGGAATGAGTCGGGATCGAATGTGCCCACTTTCCAGCCGACGTTTGTCTTTTGGTTTGTTGGTCTCGTCTTTCGACCAGTGGATATATCCCAGACCACTGCGCGATGATCACTGGAACATATCCATCACCTCCCAAGAGCAGTTTTCTCTAGAGAGACTACTACTTACGAAGGTGAGGCTCACAACAGAACTTGTCTCTCCTCTTGTAAACGTGGGCTCACTACCACTGTTCAGCAGCAGCATGTCCAGAGTAGATGTTGCACATATCCATCACCTCCCAAGAGCAGTTTTCTCTGGAGAGACTACTACTTACGAAGGTGAGGTTCACAACAGAACTTGCCTCTCCCCTTGTAAACGTAAGTGCACTACCACTGTTCAGCAGCACCATGTCCAGAGTAGATATTGCGTAGTTTGTCCGCTCACGTTGGTCTCTTTGCTTCCCCATTCCACCGCCCAGGAATTGAAGTTCCCGGCGATTGCCACGGGAAAGCGCAGCTTCGCATCCTCGGTCAGACTATCTAAGAAATCCGTGAATTCATCGAGTGAGAGGCTGGAGTATAGCAGTTGCAGAAATAAATTCCGTTCAGCTTAGCTACTACAAAACCAGCCTTTTTACCATTTTCAACGCTCTGCAACGGGAACCCTCTGCAGGACCAAATAACGCCTTTAGTCGTAGCATCCGTCTCCCAGGGTCGTGTGCCAAGATTTCTATATGGCTCCGAGATCAACGCAAATCAGGCATCAGTTCGCGCAAAAAAAAAGTTATATCTATATCTATTAAAGTTTGAGGACCTTCTGCAAATGAAGAAATATCAAACATATAAAGATAAACATAATGACAACATTCCAAAAAAGCAAAACATAAGAGTTGAAACAAAGTCAACGTGTAAAACCTTTAGGAGCTCGTAAATCGCGATAGAGTCCCGTCGTAAAAACCGGAGAGAAGAAGATTATTGCTGTAGGCGTTTTATGTTGACAAAAGGATCGCGAGATAAAAGTTTTAACACCGAGGAACGTTTTTACTGGGCAGGCAAACAAACTACGGATTGGTTCTCGGTGTATTTACAGTTCCGGGGTCAACGAGGTAATCTCGAATCATTTTTATAGCCCCTTGTTCTTCTTTTTTTTTTTTTTTGATGGATTAATGGCAGATTGAATTTTTGCGATCGAATAACTTGGATTTTTTAAAATTAAACTTTCATTGTAAGAATTCGCAAATGATACCTATATAGTCATATAACATGATGTGATAAAGTGATTAACAAAGCATAAGAGATTATCTAAAAATCACAGTGTTCGTGTCGGAAATTACATTTAAAATGAGAATTTAATAATATAGATCACTTTCACATTTTATGTAACTGGTAATTTAGGTATCGATAAGGCCATATTGGGGGCGGAATGCATCTGAAACTAAAAAATTATGACGCGGTGATTGTATGCAACATTAAATTGTTACAGTGCAATGAATATCGATACTTATTTTACAAACAGCTACTCATTCCTGCTAGCAGTTTATATGTTAGAACGCATTATGGTATCTATAATAATACCCGTAACATTCTACAAGAATTATTATTGTCTGCGGTCTACCATATCGAACTAATTACAACTGACACTAATTGATTTCTATCTTTTCCAGCCAAACCCATCTTACCAATTTGGTTTCGATGTGAAAGACGACCAGTATACCAATTACCAGACGCGCAAAGAAGAACGAGACGGTAAAAAAATTACCGGCAGCTATTCTGTTGTCGATGCTGACGGATACATCAGAACTGTAAAATATACAGCTGATCCTAAAGAAGGATTTAAAGCAGAAGTAAGTTTGCTATTCGATTAAATCGCAATTAATCTAAGCTGTATGGCAATATAATAACTGTTCGTGTAATATCAGCTGCCCCGTAAACTAGCCGTCCTAGTTTTGACATCAATATCATTTCACCTGTCTCGGTGTATACACCTATAAATTATGAGAACTAATTAGTAGATGGAAACCCTAAACCTCTCTTGTCTCTTACAATAGTTACACGACAAGCGGGATTATTAACTGATTTTGTATTAGTCGTAAAAATTCGATGGTATAAGCCATCTGCATTTTTCGAGTGAGAACCTACAAGCAAATAAGAAGGAGCTTGAACAAAGTGGGTTTCGCCATCAAAAAAGTACAATTTAAAAACAGCTAAGTAGTGGTTATGGTGAGATTTTTGTTAGAGTAGGTAGTCAAAGAAGTTAGGAGTGAGTTAAGAACTACAGTCACAAAATTAGTCCATAAAGTCATTGAGGTAGTGGTTTCCTACAAAACCCCAGGCCCCACGTTGGGCGCCAAATATGTAGCGGGTATCGAAGGGAACTCCAACACTATGCACTACACATTGTTTTTCAATGTTTTTATTTAATAATTTAACTAGAAAAATACAAAGTCGGCAAAATTACTGATAATCAGATTGATAATGAACTTGATCGGGGAAAAGATGCGGATACACTCAGTGCGGCACTGACGACAAATGGAAATCGCCATTAATAAAATACCATTTCAAACATTATTGAAAAGTTATGGTTTGTTAGTTATAAATTGGAAAATTCAAATTTACATAGATAGAATTTAATTTTGGCAACAAACTTCCTTTTACTGTCAAATTATTACAATCCTCTGATATCATTGTGCAACATGATATAAAAATGTAAACATGCCCGCATAACAAAAGGGGTTTGATGCTATAGTAAACCCTGGATGGCTTTCCGGAAGCGTTCTCCAGATAAATAGTAATCATATTGAATATTTTATCGTTGTTTGTTTGGCTGTTTGAATTTTAACCATATGACATGGATTTAATTTAATAATCCATATGGACATATAACATCCATTTCACTTTGGAAATAATTATTCAAAATTTCCATTTTACAAGTCAAAGTGCTTTATTAAAATCTCTACCTTCTATTAAATGCAGACATATTTCTGCTTCTGTGCTCTCACACTTTCGCAGCAGTCAATTTTTCCATTGCACATATTGTAGCGAACAGAGATATCGACACAATGCGGCGATAATTTTCGATTTTTATTTTATTTGTCCTACACGAATGTCGCGCAATTAAATTCGATTTGTGAAAAACTTTTATTTTTCTTTTGCCATTTTTCCTTATACGAATTCTATTCGTAGGAATATGATGCAATTACCGATGCACATTTTGCGGCTTTACATTTTTCCATCTGGTGCTTTATAAAAGAGGTCGATCAGATTTCAAGCGTTTTGCATTCGATTAGCTTTGATTCTATTAACCGCTGCTGACTGCGGAAATTGGATTTGCTATTCGAGTTTTATTATTTTTGTTGTTGAATGTATTTTCAGTGGAATTTTATAAATACCTACTTATACATAACTTAAATACCCGGAATGCCAATGTCTATTTTTAAAAAAATATTATTTATTACGAAAATTACATAATAATTAAAAAGCATAGAGCGAAAGCTTCAGACTGACTGAGGTGGAGCGGCGTGGAAACTAGTTTTGTATCTTCTTTCTTGCTGAATGTGCAGAACGTTGACTTGGATTTTACGTGGTATTATAGGGGTAGATGGTCACATAATTATTCCTCCCTCCTAAAATTCAACTTCGTGGAAGTTGAACCTCTGAAACTTGAGTGGCTGGTGCTTCTTGGTTTCTTTTCTTGATGCATCTTGGAACGATAAACTTCTTGTAGCAGAAATAGATAACTGTAAAAATAAATAATACATAAATTAATAAAGTCTATGGGCTTGGATCCTTATGATTTTCTACGTAATTGTTGATTAGTAGTTGATCGAGTTGGATGTCAAAAGGATTATCACTCGAAACATGGCCATTTATGATATCAATGGGTCTAAATTTTGTTGCGGAGTGTATTGTATGATTGCAGCCTAATATTGCGTAAATCATTTTTAGGTGGACTGGTGTTTTAGGAAATCCGCGGGTATTTAAAATTCTTACGTTTTCTAAAATTTTTGAGTGAAATCCTTCAACAATACCGTTTGAGTCCGGGTGATTTAGGCAAATGAAATGAACTCTCTATCATTATCAGGTTGGGCAATAATGGAAAGATTGTCTTGGTCCGGGTTTGTTTTGTTTGTGAGCTGATCAGGATTTCGATTAGAAGATTGTAGGGATTGATTGAACTCGTCCACTAATATCAAAATTATCTGTGGTCTTGTTGACGTGAATTTCGACATGAGATAGAGCGTCGGCGTTAGTATTCAATGACCCTTTTTTATAGAAGATTTTATAGTCGAATTCTTCAAGCTTAATTCGCCATCGACGTAATTTCGAACCCGGTTCTTTCAAAGAAAACAGCCATTGAAGAGGTTTATGGTCTGTTACTATATTGAATTTTCGACCATACAAATAGGGCCGGAAATATTTGGTTGCCCATACAATACAAAGAAGTTCCTTCTCAATGGTGGAATAATTTGCTTCGCTATCATTTTAGGTTCGGAAAACATACGCTACAGGAAAATCATTTCCGATAGGCCCTTGAGACAAGACTGCACCAAGTGCTACGTTACTAGCGTCAGTAGTGAGATTGAAAGGTTTTGAAAAATCTGGGTACTGGAGGATGGGTTTATTTATTAGAAGATTTTCACAGGTTTCGAAGCATTTTACAAATTCGGGATTGTGGTCAATAATAGCCCCTTTCTTAAGACATTTGGTTAAAGGTTTGGTAAGTATTGCAAAATTATTGACGAACCTTCTATAGTAACCTAGGAGTCCTAGAAAACCTTTGATTTGCTTCGTCATTTTTGGGATAGGGTAATTTTTAATCGCCTTTATTTTGTCTAGGTTTGGCTTAACACCAGAGGCTGTAACGACGTGTCCCAGGTATGCTACTTCTCTACGGAAAAATTCCGACTTATCTAGTTGGATTTTGAAATTCGCTTGTCTGCGTCGTTCGAAAACATTTCTTAATTTTTCAAAATGCTCCTGAAGGGAAGTAGAGTATATTATTATGTCGTCTAAATAAACAACGCATTTTTCGTTCTGTAATCCACGTAGCACTTTATCCATAACGCGCTGGAACGAGGCGGGGGCGTTTTTGAGCCCAAATGGCATTCTTAGATATTCATTATGAATATCTAAGTTTTCGCAATTAAAAGCTGTTTTGGGAATACTTTTTTCATCCATTTGGATTTGATGAAAACGACTCGCAAGGTCTAAAGTGGAGAAATATTGGCATTTACCCAGTTTATCTAAAAGTTCCGTAATTCGGGGAAGCAGGTATTTATCGTCCACGGTCTTCTCATTAAGCTTGCGGTAGTCGACAACTACACGGCACTTTTGCTTACCGCTTGCATCGAGTTTTTTGGGGACAAATATTTTCGAATTTACTAATCTGCTGTATCATAGAAAGTTCAAATTAGGCTGTCACATGTCGCCAAATATCTGTTAAGGTCATTAGGCTTCCCATCGAAAGTGGGAACACAGTTTTAATACTCTGGTTTGAATACAGGCATTCTGATTGATTTATTATCTATTAATTCAAAATTGTTACTTGACGATGTACCTGCGGTACTTAATATGCAGTCTACCGTATTAGATATTGGTGAGTCAGCCGAAGTGATTGTCAATTTATTCAATATATCAGATAAATCTTCGACAGACAGCAGCGTTATAAGTTGTACTTACATTAACAACCAGACGATCAGCATCCTTATGGTAACTATAAGGGACAGGTCCAATGGGCGGCGATTTTGTCCTCCAAATTCCTGCTTCCTTGCGTAACTAGAACGATTTTTGAACTAATCACCAATATTCGATTTCCGATAAATCGTTGAAATGAACGTTTTTCGAATCGACCGTAAAACTTCGGAAAATCCTACCGACTGCGCCACTTAAATAACCGCAATGCCAATGTCTATTTTTTAAAAAAATATTATTTATCACGAAAATTACATAGATTAATAATTAAAAAGCATAGAGCGAAAGCTTCAGACTGACTGAGGCGAAGCGGCGTGGAAACTAGTTTTGTATCTTCTTTCTTGCTGAATTTGCAGAACGTTGACTTGGGTTTTACGTGCTATTATAGGGGTAGATGGTCACCTTGTTCGCCCGCTTCTGGGTTCTCTTGCGGGTCTGTTTCTTTGGTAGTTTCCATGTCAAAAGTTACTATGTTTTCATCTTCGTTTTGGGGCAACAGTAACAGCATCTGCATCATCTAGTTTATTTTCTTTCCTAGACAAAGCAGGTCATCCTCGTTTCCGGATTTGGAACTTCACTTTCTTTTCCCACAAAAGGTTTTAGAGCTGATACATGATACTTTCCAAGCGGTTTTTCAGGATCTTCGATAGATGTTATCACGGATTTGGTGGGAGTTATTTGTTTTTGTACTAAGTATGGCCCATCACGTTTCGGTGCAAATTTGGAAGTAAACTTATTCTTGCTGCTGCTCAGGAACAGGTTTGCGGGAAACTTAAGAGCTCTTTGACGTTTTTGGGTGGTAGCATATCCATAATGGCAGCAACCTTGGTGTTATCGGGAGGGATCTTTTCTGGGGTGATTACGTCTCTAAGGTACTTGATCAAATCGCAAGAGAAATGACACTTAGGACGGTTTGAACAAGTTTAATCTATTGAAAATCTTTTGTAGATCTTGGAGATGTTCTGTGAAATTTGATGAAATGACTATCAGGTCGTCACGATACACCAACATAAAAATGTCAGGTGAACCAGCACGAAAACGATGCATGAGCTTCTGAAAAGTGGAGGGGGCTGTGGAAAGACCAAAAGGCATTCTTGTATATCTAAATGTTCCAAATGGTGTAACAAAAGCTGTTTTGTCTCGAGTTTCACACTTATTTGATGGTATCCACTTCTCAGATCTAATGTCGTCATAAACGGAGTCTTTTTCGTTTCGTGTATTCTTGGTAATAGGTACCGATCTGCTCTGGTAATTGAATTGCGTTGTCGGTAATCCACTACCAATCGGATCCCACCATCCTTCTCCGGCACTAGGACCACTGGGGTATAGGGCGACTCACACTCCTCTATGGTACCACTCTGCAGCAACTTGTCCAATTCAGTGCGCAGCTGCTGCTTCTTTATCTCCGACATCCTATAAAGCGGTACAAATATAAAATTATCGTTCAATAAAACAATTGCATGCTCTGCAATTGGAGTAGGTTCGCTATTGGGCTCGAAAATGCTGGCATTCTGGCACAATATAGCATTCAGCTTCTCTTTTTTCTCTGGCTGCAAGGTAAGACCTTCAGTTTCTTGGAGAAAAATTTCTGAAAATCGACACTGTAGTTATAGTTGTAGAGCTATGTCTTCTTGGGAGCAGAAAGTTTATGATAAGGTTGGCTGCTTGGATAAAATCCACCCCAAGCAGCATACGGTTGTTTTCATGATCAGGAATGGACAAAATCTGGACTTCTATTGATTTACCTTATAGATCTATGCTTAGTTGAAAAATATTAGCTGTGAACCAGCCACACTTGATTTTGCACCAGTATCCAAGTAAGCATACCCGCCATGTATAAAAATGGAAATTGGCACCAAAGGCCAGAAATATGTGAGCGAAGGAATTATACAAAAATTCAGCAGCCATGACAGGGTTTTTAGAAGAACTTTGGGAAGAACCCTACTTAGTTGAACAGTTAGGGCAGTTACTGCGTATAAACCCAGGCGCACCACATCCATAGCAAGCCACAGGGAAACTTTTTCCTTGGGCAGTTGTAGCGTTTTGAACTTGTACATTTGCCTGAGTCTGATGAACTGTGTTTCTTGTGATATTTTGTGGAGAATTACCAAGTAAGTTTACGGAACTCTTCTTTGACATGACCGGCATTTTTGCAGTACACACAACGCTTTTGTCTCTTCAATTCAGTACCCGTGCTTGAGTTAAAAGTTCTTGGAATGAATAGACTTAGTCCCGTGGAACCTTTTCACGTATCCGCCTGTGTATTAAACCGTACACCATATCGAGTTGAATCTCCTCAGTTAGAGTTCCACTAGGTAATAGTCCTGTTCTTGGGAAAAAAGTTCTCTATAATCCCGATAAGGGAGCTTAATAGGGCCAAATGTAGACCGAAGCAGATCTATGGCATCTTTCCAGGTTGTTAAGGACGATTTGACGCCCTGGAACCGCGTTGCAGCAAAACCATCAGACAACATAGGCAGACCTTTAAGAGCATTGTCATCTTGTACTAGTCTACAGTCTTTATAAATTTCTACTGCATCGATGAATGCGTTAACATCAGCATTTGAAGAAACATCAAACCTTGAATTACATTTTGCCAAGTTTCCAGTAGGAGCTGGAGCTTGATAAGCAGCCTGTTGCTGAGGGGCTACAGTTAAGCGAGACATAAGCTGTTGAAACTCTTCTTCTGTCAACGTGACAGAGCTCATATTGTTATTGAAGTTATAAATTCTACGAAAACGAAGCTCGAAAGGGCTTCTAGATGTGGATGATATCGATGAACTATCTGGTTCCTCTGAATCACCAAATAATTAAACATCTAGTTACTTACAGTCTTGGATATCTATTTATATGATTGCACGAAGTCCAAAATTGTCCGACTCACACGGGGCAAAATCGAGGCGAATCAATTTAACAAAATGCCACTTGTAGCACGGAGTCCAAAATTGTCCGACACTAACGAGAGCAAAATCGGGGCGAATCACTTACGATTGCTTTTTAGAATTTTTGTTTTGTGGGGGCAGCAGCATACTGCATTGAAAAAGTGTTCTGATAATCCTTCCGCGGCCCCACGTTGGGCGCCAATACAACGGGTAAATAGGTTTTATCGTGGAAAAAAGGATTAAACACAGAATTTATTACTCAAAATAGATTGTTCACATTTTACAAGTAGAAATAATAATAATATTGCAAAAAAACGTGGCAAAACAACTGATTATCCACAATAACAAAACTTGAAGTGTGAAGTTTGACTTTTTCTCTCCCTCTTCTTTTTAGGTTAGGGCGTCAGGACGATACTCAATTGTATTCTACTATAGTTTCCAAGTTACTATATTTTTTTCCAATGTCTGATCCAAAACCACATGAAAATGCACCGGTCTAAAAGCTACCAATGCCAAAATTATAAGACATATATAAAACCTCTCTCTATATAAAGAGCATATTATAGAGCAATATGTGCATGTAAAAGTAAAATCGAATAAGGCACCGGAGTAGAAATATTTCCAAGTAACAAAAAACAGGTTAAAGTGAACTAGGACTTGTTCGGGGGTCCCACAATAGCTTTTGTATAGCGAATTCGAGGAACTTACATTTTTCCGGATAAATAATAAATCATATATCCGATATTTCCGGGTATTTGAAAGGTATAAAAGAAATTTAAACTTGAATTGAATATTTTATTGCTGAATACCTATACAGATGCAATCGTCTTCAATTATTAATTACCGGTTAACCAAGTTACATTAGATGACCATAAATAATTTGGATTGCCTATAAATTATGTCACTTTGATTAATTAGATGATGAAAACTAGAGACCCTTATCTATAAGATATTAATATATTGCTTTTGATTTAGGTGAGCCGTGAACCAACGGATATTAAAATTAAAATCCCCAAGCCTCATCCACAGTATCAGCAGATTCCCAGCCAGCAACATGCAGCTAGACATCAACAGCATCAACATCAACCACAGTATATACAGGTAAATATTATTTTTGAGTTTTAACACTTTGGATTGTGTGATTGAATTTCAGGTTGGAGGACAAAGGGTTGCTCAACAAAGGGCCCAAGAAGACGAAAATGTTGTTTATCAATATCAATAATTGTTTTTTTTTTTTCTGTAGAAATATATTTTGTACCATATTTATTTCCTGATTTAAGGTTACGTTGTTCAGTTACCATTACTTTTGTTGATGTGATTTTTTTTTTGAATTTCTATTTTGTTATTCTAGGGTTTATTAGAAATATAGAAAAGTTTTCTACAAATTGTTTTTGAGGTTATGTATACTGTTCCAGTTACCATTACTTTTGAGGATGTGATTGGCTTTTTATTTTATTTTGTTATTCTAGGGTTTATTAAAAATATTCAATGTGAAGATCTTCTTAGAGACATTAGCAGATTCAAGTCGGAAAGACTCACATAGTTTCGAAGAATAATGACAGAAAGAAAATCTTTGGGAAATTGAAAAATGGAAGACGAAAAAGCTTTGATGATCTTTTGCAGACTGAAGAGAAAACTACTCTGATACAGTCTGTTCTCACAGCATCAAGCATCGTCCATACATGTTTTCAATGCCGTCGTTCCAAGATAAATCGATAACATAACTGAGCGAATATTTCTGACAGTTTGAGGCAGTGTCGCCTTGGCATGTGGTTCCCAGAGACTTTCTTACCGATCAGGAAAGATTCGAGACAAAAATATTCAAAAAATCTTTTCCAGACGTTGGAAGATCTTTGAGAAAATGAAAGATGGAAGACGAAAAAAAATCCAAACTCTCTATAGGAAGAGAACCCAGAAGAAAAGACACTTAGAATCATCATCATCTAGTTGTAACATAAAAAAAAAACAACATAAAGCAAATAATAATGGATTAATTCTGAATAAAGATGCTAATTTTGTCGCTGATAAATGATAATATACGAAATCTCATTACATTACAAATCGCTTACCTCTCGAAAATTGCGACTATACATAATTAGTTTTCAACACAAACAGTATTGTTATCAAACATGGATCAAATTGATATTCCATACTTATTATACAATAAGGCATTAATGCCTATGTATATTACAACAAAGTGTTGCTGAAGGGTGCGATAATTTTGTACCACTATATTAACTGGATTCATATTGCCATTTCTTATTTACACACATCTTGTGGATCCTAAACACATATAATACAAAAATAAATTCCGTATTCGTAACACCTCTTCGATCCTCGAGAGAGCGTTAGCCTCAAAAATAAGCCGTCTTTTCCAAAAAAAAAAAAAACAGTCCGTAGGCATGTCATGTATGTATTCAACAAAAATCATATATCAAACGTCATATTGTTTTCTTTGCATTGAACATGCATAAACTTGTTCACTGACGCGTGAATTGGGTTCATTCGAACTGTGAAAATCCCGCTCCCAAAGTAAATTATTTCCCAAGAGAGTGCACCAGCAGCAGATGCAGCCAACATCCCTTTATCTCTTCTTTGTGTATATAAGTTCACCACTTATAATACATTTCCGCCGAGCGGAGTTTAATAGCTTCTCAGTTCTAATTGTTTCTCGCTAAAATATAACCTTACAGAGTTCTTGTTAACCAGATTTTGCGTTAGTTTGAGTAGGTGGTCTCTTATGTAACTGACATTATGTTTAGCTACCAAACAAAGTTAAAATTTACTTGCGCATCGATGCGGGAGAAGAGTTTTCTGATTATAGGAGTCATTTTCTTTTCTGCTGACTCATCATTTCCAAAAAAAAAAAACCTTTAAGCCAAAAATCTTATATAAAGACTCTGGCCACTGGCACATGTTCTTAACGGTTCAGGTTTTTTCTCCGAGGGGTCGTTTTCTCGTTGGCCTATTTTCGCTCCTGAAAAATTATTTCAGTAATATTACTTCCTGAAAGTAATAATATTGAGAAGTTCAATATCCAAATATGTATTTCAGTTTAATATGGGGTTCTACAATGCTTCTTTGACAACGACTTACTATAAGCCATAATATTCTTATAATAAATTATTTACATTAAAATGGATATAATTCAATATTCGTTTATACGCTGCTTTGAAAACGATTTTACATCAAAAGTAGTATATATTTTGCCTTTGAAAGTAAATGAGGCATTTCCTCTTTCTGTCGACATCAATAATACTTTAAGCGCTTTAAATGCTATAATAGCGAACAGTAAATAACATTTTGAAGAGGATTTTTACACAAAAACAACAAGGTTTATTGTAAAGCCTTAAAAATTGAATTACCTTTTTTTTTCATTATCTACGTCAAAGTAGAAGAGGGATTTATATTATATTTTTCCCGAATTTATCACACACATAAGGCAGTCTCGGGCCCTTCAATTCCAAATCATAAGGCGGCATGCTTGAAAAATAACAGATAATCCGATTACGGCCGTTAGACACGTAGATCTAATATTTCAAGCCGGTCTGATGAACGTGATATAATATATTATACGCGTATATATTTACCGTTAAATCTTGAGTTTGCGATTTTTCTGAGATACGATGCGAGGAGTCTTTTTAATGGTGATACATTTTTGTAGTTTATTGATGACAAAGCAGAGTTGAAGTACCTGTAAAATGATTGAGAGCTGTTCAGAAAGGTCAAGAAGAATCTAAAACAGAAGCTGAATGAATTAAGGAAGTTGGACTTTTGAAATTTCCTCTGAGTGATTCTTAAGACTGATGAAGATTGGAGCTGAAAATGTTGCAGCTGAATTTGAACCAGAAGTGGAAAAGGAAGATGAAGCGCTTCTTAGATTAAATCAGCGCTGGATAATATCGGGTATAAATGTCTTTCAACAGAAGGTTGAATCAAAGATGATAGATGGCGCGGTTTGAAGATGATGTTTTCTATCTCGCACTCACGTTGTGAGTCTACAGGGCTGTCTCTCTCACACTAAAGCAAAGATTATGATGCAGAAACAACCATTCTATACTATTTTCATACACAGTATTACCACGAACACACCCGTATGTATGCCATTTGGATTGAAAGATGCCCCGTCCACATTCCAAAAAATCATGGACAATATTCTGCTCGGCAATCAAAACTTTGCAGCTGAATCTGAACCAGAAGTGAAAAAGGAAGATGAAGCTCAAATAACTATTTATACAAATAATTGTCCTCATTTCCTTTTGAGCTAAATCAGTGCTGGATAATATCAGGTACAAATGTCCTACGACAAGTAAGGAAAATCATGGATGATAGATGGCGTGGTTAGCTGATGATGTTTTCTATCTCGCACTAATGTTGGGAGTTTACAGGGCTGCCTCTCTTACAGTAAAGGAAGGATTGTCATGTATAAGCAACCATTCTATACTACTTTCATTGTCTACTTTAATAATTTTTTTGCTTAACAGATTATCCTTTTAACCAGTGGGGAGCAGTTTAGAAAGCTATAAATCTATGAGATTATTAGTTTGATAATAATGTATTAATTTTTGTAATAGTTTGTAGCAAGTTTAATTATATTTATTTTTGATGACGCTATGTAGGTAGGTACTTACAAGAGACGAGAATTTTAAACAAATCAATTTTCAACTTTTCAAAATGTTATGCTGAGGGACAAGTAAAACGTTTCCGAAATTGAATAGGTGAACACAGTATTACCACAAACACACATAGGTATGCCATTTGGATTGAAAAATGTCCCGTCCACATTCCAAAATATCATGGACAATATTCTGCTCGGCAATCAAAACTTTGCAGCTGAATCTGAACCAGAAGTAAAAAAGGAAGATGAAGCTCAAATAATCATTTATGCAAATTGTCCCCATTTCCTTTTGAGTTAAATCAGTGCTGGATAATATCGGGCACAAATGTCTTACGACAAGTAAGGAAAATCATGGATGATAGATGGCATGGTTAGCAGATGATGTTTTCTATCTCGCACTCACGTTGGAAGTCTACAGGGCTGTCTCTCTCACACTAAAGGAAGGATTGTGATGCAGAAGCAACCATTCTATACTACTTTCAAGATCTACTCTGGTACATTTTGTGCCTAACAGATTGTCCTTTTGGCCAGTGGGGAGTGTTTAAAAAGTAATAAATCTATGACGTTATAAGTTTAATAATAATCTATTTATTTTTGTGATAGTTTGTAGCAAGTTTAATGAGATTTATTTGTGACGACGCTATGTAGGTAGGTACTGTGTTACAAGAGACAAGAATTTTAAGCAAATTGATTTTCCACTTCTCAAAATGTTATACTGTGGGACAAGTAGAACATTTCCGAAATTAAATGAGTGATCACAGTATTATCACAAACACACGTACGTATGCCATTTGGATTGAAAAATGCCCCGTCCACATTCCAAAAAATCATGAACAATATTCTCCTCAGCAGTGAGTGGCTAATTTGTTGAAAGCTGGTTTTATCAAAGGCCCCTTCAATGTCGATGAAAACCCCGAAGGCGGACTCTCTGTTGTTCAGCGATTTTACCACTCGTCCAGCAACCAGCAGGTGTAAGGCTGTATTCGTTGATCTCCCGAGGGTATATATATATTGATTAGGGTGGAGTGGATTGGTTGACACTTTATCCCTTATGTACCTTGCGTATAGCCTCTCTATTGCTCTTAGAGAAAATGATGAGAGGTTTATGGGGCGATACCTTGGGAGTAGTGTAGTCCATCCTCCCTGGTTTGGGTAGGAACACCACTCTAACTTCTCTCCAAGCCTTGCGTATGTATCTCAGCGCCAAGGACGCCCTAAACATCTCTACCAGGTGCGGCAAGAGTGGATTCGGGCCGTCAGGTTAATAGTTTGTAGCAAGTTCAATGAGATTTATTTTTGATAACGCTATGTAGGTACTGACAAGAGAGTTTCTGAAACTGAATAAGTGATCGCAGTATAACCACAAACACACGAACGTATACCATTTGGATTGGGAAATGCCCCGTCCACATTCCAAAAAATCTTGGACAATATTCTCCTCGGCAATCAAAACGAAAGATGCTTAGTCTACTTCCTCCACCACTCTCGCTTACCTGTAGTCATTTCTTCGATTTCAAGATTAATTGCTGTTGAAATCGCAAATCAAATAGCCGTAAATAAACACGAGGTCCCGGTAATTACGCGATGCCGAGTTCAAAGACCAAAATTCGAACCCTTTCGGACCTTTTGCGACCGCATATTCTTCCAGAAATGGCCGTATTTGTCCAGTTTCTATTGCTATCCCCTCTGTTTTAAATCTAGTTTGTCTAGTTTTAATTAAGGCCCGAATAGAACTAAACGACTATGGTTACGTTTAAGAGAAATAACTCTGCTACTGGACTGAGGGGAATTGCTAATAAATTTCCAGTTTATTTTCAAAAGGTTATCAATTATTTAGGTATCTATTCATCTAACTAGAATTGAATTCTGTAAATGTAGATAGAAATATTTTAATTGGCCGTTTCTAGTTCACAAAATTGGGATGTTTTTTTTCCTTCGTCAAGTTCTTTCATTCCAACCGAATATTTACATCAGAACCGCACCAGTAAATAAAATGGTTCACGTTAAAGGGGCAATATCATCAAAGGGATTTTCCAACGTCAAAAAGGCATCGGCTATTTGCTTAATGATTGCCGTTCTCTCGCTCATTTCTAATCATTCGATAGCCTCAAGCGAAGGAAATTCCACACTGGAAATGAACTATTTTATGTTTAATTAAAAGAAAATTCAAGCAAGGGAAATATAGGTATATATAAAACATATAAAGAATAATTTTTGTCACAGAATTTCCATCAGTTGAAGGCCTTAGGGAAAACGAGGTGCCACGTCGAAAATGTACTTTCGAAAATCTTATTTAATATAATTCTCTGGTGGAAGATTTTCTTTGATATAGAACGCCTGTCTGATTTGGTTTCAAGAATAACAACTCCTTGGGTCGAGTTACGGCCCTTACGAGCGTAAGTATATTCGGGTTAGTTTTAGATTACATAGGGGTGAGTATAATAAATGATTTATTGTGAATAACCTACAAGAATTTGAATGATAAAAATAAAAACCAAATAAAATTATTGATAAAGCATCAAATGAGTGAAATTCTGCCTTTGTCAGTTTCAAAATCGAATCCATAGTTATGATTCGTATTTATTCGTTCAAAATACGAAAGGGGTCAAATTTCTAGTTCAAATTAACTGAGCGCCACCCTCCAACAACGGTTGTTCATTTAAATGAAATATAATATTTTAGTTTGTATGAGCCATGAGGTAGAAATATGCGGAATTTTTTAAATATGAATTTAATAACCATTTATTTGAAGAAAAAAAACAGATTTTTTTGTTTGTTTATTTTTCACATGGAAACTAAATTTTGTGCTAAGCAATTCAACAACTAGATATATAATTACTATACTCTATTTTTCAATCCCAGGGTACACATAAATGTGTCAGATTATAATTGTTAAATAATGGATGATAGATGGCGTGGTTAGCAGATGATGTTGTCTATCTCGCACTCATGTTAGACTCCTACAAGGGCTGTCTCTCTCACACTGAAGGGAGGATTATGATGCAAAACCGGCCATGCTATACTACTTATTCAGAATGAATTGAGTGAATCAAATCTGTTGAAGCTATTTGAGCAATTTGGGGTAGTACTAGCTTATGATCTAGATTTTTGATGGAGAGTTTCATTTTCTCTCGAAACGAGAAAGAGCGTATTCTCGTCTCGTCTCAACTCGCAGCACTAGTCCTTTCCGAGATGCATTCTTTCCTCATTAAATTATTACACGATAAATTTATCGCCACTTTCATTAAACTGTAATAAAAGCATATTTTTTGGGATTAAAATAATTCGAAATAAACTCTCTATTTTAATTAGTGGCGCAATTCGAAAGCCATTTTAAATAATGGGCGACAACATTATTGTGATCGTTTGTGCAGCTTTTTGTAAATTTATTTTGATTTAAACAAATATTATTGATGGCATTCATTATAAATATTAACGCTTTCACACTGATAACAAATCTATGATAATTTTTTCTCTTTTCACTTCCAAAGCTAAAAATTCAGAAAGGATCAAACGAGGAATATTTAATTCCTTCTAAATCAGCACTAAACTATAAAATAAATTTTAATTAAAACCGGCTCTAATTGATTGAGTATTATAATTCGCGGAAAATATTTTAAAAGTTCCCCTTTTAGCAAGTAATTAAGACGGAGGTTTTAATAAGCCCATTTCCGAATTTAATTGAAAATCTCGTTATTTAAGATATCACGGAATTAAGAGTTTTATAATCGCCATAACTCCGTTGCAATGATTATTCCCTGTCAGATCTCGATATCGAAAATATTTCTAATTTCCCGGCGATTTATTAATCTCTATTCGAACTCGGTTCGCTCTAAAAATGGAGTTCATACAGCCAGGGGGGACACGGCGACGTGAAAAATGATGCTGTTTATGATGTGCCAATGAAATTGCTAAAAATGATCCCCGGCGCGAAATAATGACAAAAGTCTCTCGCAATGAAGACATTCATTATTTATAAAATAGAGTAGGTTCAATACAGCTTCACTGTTCTTTGGATGAAATGTATATTGAGAGTAATTCATGTCTTCAACTGAATGTTCCAATTTCTGTTAATTATTCCAACTTCCTTCCTGAGACGAGTGTGCCGCGTAAAACTCCCGAAATGGAAATACAAAAAAGTAAATCCAATCTAAAATGGGGGGAGTTAACTACAAGCAAAAGAGTTCCCAGCGCGAGCAAATCTGTTTTATTCTAATACGTATGTAAGCTGCTTCGCACTTTTATAGGCCCGGGTTAACTAACTATCTAACAAATAACTCTGACGTGACGGCGCTATTAAAATTCCGGGCTTTAAACTGCAATTTTATCCAGTTGGCAAATGGAATACCTAAACAGCTTTTGTCTTTTTTTTTTTTGGTTGGGGGAAAGTTTTGGTCTGGGAATGCTGTTTCGCTCTAAAAGAGATTTAGGACTATTTTTTGTTTTGTTTTACGGTTAAGCGGTATTTGGACATTATTTGTACTCCACTGAATTTCTATTTACCTTTTCGATTCGATTTCCATGAAATGTAAAGTTCTATTTTTCGAGCCACGTCAAGGAAGGTTATCGTGTGACCTTTTAAAGTAATTCTATGGGGACGTGACTGTATAGAGAGATGCAGTTTATAGAACTGTCCGGGGGAGGCGTCAAACTAGGATATTTATGGGATTTATCTGGGTTCAGTTTACGTTCAATATTTTAGAAGGGAAAATACAGTGCGTCTGATCTTCAGAAAATATGGAAATATGTTGATTGGTAAAGACAGCGGGAAAGTTTATGATGCAGGAACACATATTTTGATCCACAGGGAGAAGCTTTTTAATATAAAATTATTTGAATAAATTGCACAAGAATTTAAAAAAAAAACATACCTATTTTTCCATGTCATAAGATATCAGCTTTTGATTCTTCCAAAATTACAAAATCTCACAAAAATCAACTTTTGCAAACATTCGAAGGAAAAATGCATTATGAGATATTTGAATGTTTATCTCAAAATCCGATTATGAATGATGAACTTGGTGTTTACCCGAAGGCGCAAAATACAAGACCTAGGACCGCTTAGATTGAAGGAGGAAATACGTTAAAGTTATTTATAGAACGCAGTCCTGCAGAATGTAAATTGTGTTGTAAAAGCTTTGAAGGTGTCAACAGAGATAGCGCAATGTGGCTTGAAAGCTGGCAACCCACAATTCATGGCGTGCTGTGAACTGTTGTGTGTTAAGGATCTACGTTATTTTATTAGTGCATCAGCACTATTTCTCCAAGAAAAAAACAGTTATTGGAAGACTGTAGTAGGTGCTAGTGTACTTATTTTGTATTCATAATTTTGACAGCTGATAGCTATGTTTATTATGGTGTTTAGGGGTTCTTTCTGTTATCAATAAAACTAGTCACGAACGATAATGAGTGTTGTATTAAAAATATCACAGTTAAGATTATTGTCGGGCTTAATTTACAGGGTACATTGGATGAGGCGCGTGCCTTGTCTTTGGGCTCTTCTCTAGTAGACTGGTTCTTCCAGTCGCTGTGTCATGGAGCTTCATACTTTGTTCCTTTCCGGAAGTAGACGGCGCTGATAGGCGGTTGCTTAATTGGTTGCTTAGTTGGTTGCCTATACGTATATAACATTTATAAATTTCAGCTTCAAAAAGTGTGTATTTTTGTTTGTGAGCGAGGTCAAGTATTTGAGGGTAACACACTTACCCGGAAACAGAATGTAGATAACACCACCAAAAAAGTGTAGATCCAGAAACAATAATGAATCACCACCCAGTAACAAACCTTGACAACCTTGTAGTGGGTACCTACCAAACTACTATAGGTTGGCAACTGTGAAAAGTGCGTTTCGGTCTGAAGTGAAGGGGGAGGAAAAAACGTTATGGAAATACACAGTTGCAATGGAATAGAGCGAGATAGATATATTATTTCGCAAATTTGCTGCCGGCCAATTCTCGCAGATCGTATTTTAGAGTGATTGGAATAAGGCAAACAGGCTATGCACAATAAGTCTTCTCAGGCTTCAGTGCTAGATAGGGACAATAAGTCGGACAGATCTGAGAGAGAGAAAAAACTACCTCATCACAGTTCCATTCTTGTACTCTAGATTATTTCCACTACATTAAACTAGATATCTCTATTATCCAGTAAACTGAAATACACCAAATTATATTGTAAAACCCTATGTTATCATTATACTAATAATTCTCCTTTCCAATGTTAATTATAAGCGTACGCCTCTGTCAAAACTCATAATAATGGGAACTGCTGACTAAGCGGTATTACACTGGATAGTACCAGCATTCCGCCTACGTAAATGCTGCATCAGCAGTTATTTCTTATAAATACAGCGTACAGAGCTTCTCGAGCTCATTCTATCATTTTTTAGCCAGACATTATTCTATGGCCAGACTATAGTAATTAGAATCAGTTTCATTTGTTTTCGGCTTTTACGTTGCAGCAATTTGATCCACATATTTTCTTTTGCCACCATTGTATTTTAATTAATAAAATAAATGTTTTTTTAAAAATACAAGTTTCTGAATCGAAAATTCAACAGAATACAAAATATTTTATTGTTCAAATTTCAGTGCCTTATTTATGGCGGTTAACAAAGGATATTTTCCTTTCCCGCACGAATTATTAAAATCGTCGAAATCCAAATCCCAAACCATTACTCCTGCCAGTCCCGTCTTACGAGCGTACTGAGCTTTGAGGCCTACTGACCTGGGATCGTCGTAGCCGTACCAGGTGGTACCTTTGTAAGAATGTGGCGATTGTTGTTGATCGTTCCAAACATAAGTGGCGTCTTTATAATACTTACAAATCTAGAAAAAAATTGATTTTAGTGAAACATTAATTAACACAAATTCTTACTTCTTGGTATGACAAAAATCCAGCAACTTTTGAAAGAGGTCCAGCCGGTCCAGGTCCATCAGTGGGGTCGTATAATTTATGTTTGTTGGCGTTGTGCAATTTGAAGCTTCTGGCATAGAATGGTATTCCCAGGATCAGTTTTGACGGCTTGGCACCTAGAGCGATCCATTGATGGATGCCTCCACTCTGGAAATTTCAGGACTGGGTAAAAAAACAAGTTCCTTCAATCAAATTCTCTTACCGCACTTAGTTGTCGATTCTCTCCAGAATCCTGGCTACAAGGATGAAAAGGCGAATGATGGGCAGCGTACCTCACTGAAGTGGCCATACGAAAATCGTATAACATTAAATTAACGTAGTCAACGACACTAAAAATAGTTGTTTTTTTTTTTGACAATATTAATTTCAACAAGGAAATTACTAACTTCATAAGTTTAGGTACGTCATAGGAAATGCCCACTTGGCTTCCACCACCTGGTACAGCGATGGTAAGCAAGTAATTGAAAGGTTTGAAGGCGCGCTTTAGTTCGGAAAGAAGAGTTACGAAGTTTTGCTAAAATAATTGTGATTTTTTTTCAAAATAATTTCAAAAACCATTGAACCTACTACGTCTTTAGGTGATCCATTTCTGGACACAGGATATTCCCAATCCAAATCAAACCCATTGAAACCATGAGCTTTGATATATTTCAAAACACTCTTGACAAATGTAGCTCTTAATGTCGGACTTGCAGCTACATGCGAATATTTTGTTGAACCTTCAGTCCATCCTCCCATGGAAATCAATACTTTGAGCTTTTTGTTTTGTTGTTTTAAGCCAATAACTTTTTTAACGTTACCTAAAAAAAAAAGTTGCACATATTACAGGTATATCGCAATTCACCATCTCTTTCTCTCTCTCTCTCTCCCTCATATTCATCATATGCTTCATCTCACTTGCGAGACGAAAATTTAATAAATCGTGTCGTGACGCGACCTTGAAAAATCAGCTCAAAAAAAAATATAAAAACCCAATATTTCGTAAGTGCTACTTACCTAAACCATTATCTGACCAATCGTCCAGCACTTTAAGTTCGCCAGTGTTGCCATTGAGCCCCACAAAGGCATAATTTATAATGGTGCATAGATGAGGGTCAATATTTGAAACTTGAAATTTGGCAATGCCCTGTCTGTAAACCGCCCAATTTGTAAAGTAGCAAACAATTTCAGCTGTAATATATCGACTGTAATAATAATTATCATATTATTAACGGGGTACTTACCCCCAAAAGTCAAATTGCTACAAGTCAAAATTAAAACCAATAAATTTCTAATTTGGTTCATGATTATATTTTATTACCAATTTTGATTAAAATTCACAAAATGGGTTTTTATCTTGTATTTATATATAAAATCGATTTGACTGATAAGGGTTTTGAGGTTTTTGTGCATGTGTGTGGTAAATATTGACTTAAATGTACTTAAACTTGTGCGTGTGTTTGGTTTTTTTGAAGCACCTATATAAATTAGCCGTCCAAAAACGAAATTTATGGAAATAGCCCAATAATAACACAGGGAAAATATAAGGCCGTAAATCAAAAAGGCATTTCGTTTCGGGACGCACTCATAATCAATTTCATCATTCCCAGTTCCCGGGGGGATTTATGATAATGCTGCTCTTTATTAGAAATATCCCGCTATGTTCGTGCCGGGTATAAATTCCGGAAATGCGTCGAGTTAATTATTGAAATAGATGTTAAGTTTGGACTAGCCCCAAATACCCTTTCACTCTAATATGAATTGTTTCGTTAGTAATTTCCAATTAATCAAGCTGGTTTTACAATTCTTTATATTTTGAAGTAGGGCTTATACGCATATATAAGCGATTTATTTTGAAGGAATAATTTAGTGAAATTAAGGAGAAATTGTAAGTACATGTAGGAATTTGAGCCTTTAGTATGTAACCTTTTCATTTGAATAACATTGTTCTGTCCAGTTTTCTGATTTTTTAGTGAATGTTTTAATAATGAAACACTATTAAAAAGGTTTCTGATTCTCAATTATCTTTGTCAACGAGAATATAGTCTGTTTTACCTCTTTCTCGTAGTATCACATCCTTATATACTTGTGCTAGCTCGCGGATCGACTCCCCTCTCGTACATAATTGATGAATCCACGTTTTATTTCCAAACCATCCGAAACCGAACTATTTTATCTGGAGTGAATTACCCTGGATATAGCGCATGATATATCCTGTCATTCTGGTAAATACGGAAAATGAGGGGTATTTTATTTAAGTGCCGCTCGTTTTTCTGATAGGGAGGCTCGAAATTGAAACTTTTACGAGTGAAAAAAGTAAATGAAATTTGATATTTTTTTTCTCGTTCCAAGTTCAAACTCAACGTATGTTAATTCCTCACTAATCACACAAATCCTCTCTAGTTTCCAGCTACAAATCAGCTTAAATTATTTTGAATAGCCGATATATACATCTGTTGCGGTTCTAAAACCCTTTAGACGGCTTCCATCGTCAATAGCCCTCTATTTATCTCTTGTGCCTTTACAATTATTTCCAATTAAAATTCTCGTATTCGCGAACAAATTATTACAATATTATAAAATAATCTAAAGTCAAAAATCCATTGGGCCTCGACCTATTTTATTTGTTAACTCAAAACACGTTCTCCATGCTCTCCACCCAGGGACAGCTTCCACTAAATTATGTCTACAATGGTAATGGATATCCAAATAAAATGGCGTGTTTCCCGATGCGTTCTGTCATCGAAAGCTAACAAACGACTTCGGGCTGCCAGTTTTACTGACCCGAATTTATGTTTAGTTTGTTAGAACTTAGAGCCTAGGGAGGGAACTTTGGCGTTAATGTTGGATTATTAGTTGTATTGTAGTCGAAGGAAATGACAGCAATAGAGTTACTATTGACATTTGAGAGATTTTGAAACAGAAAAAGTCGTACAGGACGTGATTTAAGTATTCATTACATCATATTCTTTGGGCCTACGTTATGTAGCCTCTTTACACTGTTGTCAATTCCTGTGCAGACCTGAAGTTCGGATTTTTACTTAAACAAAATTTCTTCGTCATTTCACCTCAATGTATGTAATTGCAGGGTGTTCTTATATAAACTCACAGATTTTACAGGTAAGTATCTAAAAAACGAGGAAAAATAATGAGATGCGGTTTGTTCTGGGAGAATCAATCAGAGGGGACTTCAAACTTCCAGGATTTATTGAGTAGGGTCTTTTCATCAAACAAAGCAAACCGTGAATGGATCTCAGGCTCAGAACTGAAATTATGATTTTTTTCTCACTTGGATGCAAAAAAATCTTGTAAAATGTCTATCAAATCATCTTTGGAAGCTTCTGGAATATACTTCAAGCAATCAGAGGGACTTCAAATTTCCAGGATTTATTGAGTAGAGTCTTTTTATCAAACAAGACAAACCGCGAATGGATCTCAGGCCCAGAAGTTGAATTATGATTTTTTTGTCACTTAGATGCAAAAAAAATCTTGTAATATTTCTATTAGGTCACCTTTGGAAGTTTCTGAAAAATACTTCAAACAATCAGAGGGACTCCAAATTTTCAGAATTTATTGAGTAGGGTCTTTCCATCGAACAAGATAAACCGCGAATGGATCTCAGGCTCAGAACTGGAATTATGAATTTTTTCTCATTTAGATGCAAAAAAATTTTGTAAAATTTCTTTTGAATCACCTTGTTGCGCTCAAAATTAACCCTTAAACTTTTGAATAATAACTTTGAATAAGTAAACCCTAATAGGCCTAGGTACAGTAAGACACCCTTAAGGAATGCGGCTAGCGCAACAAAGTGCTCGCGGCTACTCAGTGGTGTGGGAATAGGTTCAATATTTAAAGTTAGCTTTATAGGGCGCCACTGGTTTACAAAATAAAATCCGCAGATTTAAACCAGAAAGTCCCTGATCTCCAAAATTCCTATAAAAAATGTACCTACCCGATGTACCTATCCTCTAAAATAACTTTACCTTAGTTTGGTTGAGGTCAGTAGGGGTAAAATAAGAGTCAAATCTATAAACAATGATTATAAATCTATTTAATAAAATGGGGGGGGGGGGGTATGTTTAGAACTGCAAAGGTAATATGTAAAATACAATAGTAATTATTATTTAATGTAATTGGTAAAATTACCAGAAGGTATAGCAAGGACCAATTTTTATTGGTCTTAAATAAGACACTCCAATATGTTCAAAATTTACCAATAAATGCTTGACTACCCCAATGAGAGTGCAAGACGACAATTAAGGAATAAAAAAATTAATCGTATTAATTAAAACCTGTGCACGCTTATACCATGGTATACCGTAGCGGGTTTGTACAAAAATGTCACCTTAATATAGTCAATTAAAAATCATTGGTGTAATACACCCATTGTAATAATTAAGGCAGTAAAACAAGCTTGAAAATGTACCAAATTAAATATAAGAAATACCAATAATAATAATTAAAAATAATAATTGAGAAACGTTAATAAATTTACGGGTACATCATCCCTTTGTGGTCCTTCCTGCAGTCTAAACATCAATTATCAATTTCCATTACTATCTCATGACAGCCTCACAGCCCTGATAATAAACCCCATCAACTTCTATTGATTTTCCTTCTTAAAAACGGTAGGTTTCGGTTTCAAGTCAGTATTTTGGGTGCTCTGACACCTCAATTTCGAGACTAGCAAACCGTCAAAAAGGAAGAACCCAATGGTAAGGTAAAATGTAAAACCTAAAACCCTGAAAGAGGACAAATTCTTAGAACTTAAACCCCTTTATATTTATAATACATATTAATACATCCATTATAAAATTAATATAGGAAAATCCCCTGAAACCCGCAAGTTTCCTTTTGAGTTTTTTTTTTTACTGACAAATGACCCTCCTGGAGGTCAAATTGCCTTTTTTTTTTATAGAATCCCAAATATTTACAAAAATTACTAATAAGCTAAACTAAATATTGATAACGAAAAGGTAAATTGAGAGTGATAAGTTGAACAAAACGTGCTCTCTGCTCACACGACAAACCAACAAAATGGCGTAGATTTCGTTTCCAGAAAATTCTGAGTGGTTGGCTTACAAATACGGGGTTCCCAACGTCTTCAAAATCCCACAAAAGGTGGATGTTCCAAGGAACGTAGCAAAGAACGACCGCTGGTAAAATCTGCCACTTGTTTGCTCAACGTGCGAATTTAAAAGCAATTCCCTATTTTCAGCAATTTATTAGGTGAGCTCAATATGAAAAATTCCTTAGAATGCTATTTTTTTCAAGATGCCCTCTGGTGCCAGATTTCCGGTCTTGACCAGGAAAACGGAACAATCAGCTTGAAACGGAACAACCCAAATCACATTGATGACAAACGAAACCCAAAGTTGTTATCCAATTTTCTCCCCCAACACCAATTAATACTTATTAATCAGCATCTACCCAGTCTTTAGTGCAAAAACTATCAAAATGACCAGTCGCTCAGTGGTCACAACTACGGTGACTCTATTACCCACAGAGGTCAAGAACGTCGGTAACAGCGCTGCCTGAAACGAAACAACAAGGGTCACTTAACCACACTTATTCGGCAGAAATAAATAACCGGGAAAATCTATGTAAAATCGGAATTAAGGGTGAAAAAGCGATTTAAAGGCTGTGAAAGTGATGTGTGATGTTGCAGAATTTTTAATAATGGAAAATACGTGACTCGTAAGTGTTGCCAATTGATATTTATTTGGAAGTAAACAAGCCTTTTCATCGACATTTAGGGCCTTTTAGACAACTTTCGTAAGGTAAATAAAATAGATTTCGATCCTAACAGTAGGGCTTTATTATCCTAAAACTACCCTGTCTCATCAAAGAACTTACTCATTATTACCTCGAAAAATATACCCTTGTTCAACAACTAAATATTGTTTCGAAATCTAGTAAAATCCAATGAGAAACCTAACAATCACTGAAAAATATTAATACTCAGGTACAAAGCTTCATAAGCACCCTCACAAATACCTGAATTAATTACCGAATTCATTCGAAATCTCAATTACGTATTAGGGAAAATTTCAACCTAACAACCTAAGGAAGCTTCTGAAAAATACTTCAAGCAATTAGAGGGACTTCAAATTTTCAGGATTTAATGAATAGGGTCTTTTTATGTAAGAAAACACGAGTGGATTTTAAGCTCTTACATCTAAAGACACCCTATATATAAAATGAAATAATCCTTTTTGATTTAATAAAATTAATTTTAACGATCATCATGTGAACAAATCACATTCAAAGTAATTAAATTATCCATTGGCAGAGCAATATCCAGACAAAAGGTCAATTTCGATTGCCGGCATTGTTTGGTCTATATTCAGCGATTGTTCCGAACGTAAACTATACCCCGAGATTGCCTTGTTT